GCCCTTTTGGTTTCCCCAGCCAATACTCGGATGGCAGGGTTGATGGTCTTGGCAGCTAATGCCACTCCTGATATCAAACCACCTCCTGCATTTTGCAAGAGGAATAATTTCATAACACCAATGATAAAATTCAGAGGAACAACAACGATGATGGAGTTAAAATTCGACGCTAAAATAAAGCAAACAGACCACTTATGGGAGCTATTATAGTGTCAATTTTCGGGGCTTGCTCCAAAAGCTCCAATGATATGGTTCCTTGCCCGCTACAAGAACAAATGAACACCACATCACAAAGAAGTTTAGGACATTATCCCCACAAGATCTATAGCAATACAAGGGTGTGTTTTTAACAATATGTATTCCTAGTCCAAAAAAGTGTATCAGAAGCTTCACAAATCTTACATGCTTTTCATTCCCAAGAATTTTATTCGAGTCCAAAACGGTGACTCAAAAATACTTAAATAACAATACCTTATGATACGCCCATCATTATAAGGATGCAGAAGAACTGCACCAGTGTCTTGCAAAACCTTGGCTGCAGTACTCTCCCTTGACTGCATATTGGGCTCACTCCAGATAATCTGACCGCCGTACCGCTTGACATTCTCGACTTTACATTTTGGAGCATTTTTCGGTACAACTATATAAGCGGGGATTCCCCGTAGCTTTGCAGCCAAAGACAGTGCCGCAGCATGGTTACCACTATGTTTGGAAGAACACATCAGGTGATAATAATCTCAAATATAAATCACAGGCAAAAAAAAAAAAAAAAAAAAAAACGGAATTTTACAAGTTAATTTCTGATTTGGATATACATTAGAAAGTTTTCGAAAAATAAAGGGGGAAGAAAAGAATACGGAACAGAAATAGTCAAGAGCAAACCTGCTGTGTGTGACAACCCCTTTAGAAGCCTGATCATCACTGAGTGAAAATACAGCATTGCAGGCACCTCTAAACTTAAAAGCACCACTACATAGTCAAAAAAGGAAACAAAATGTTATCTTTTACTTTTTGCTTGAAACAACATAGTTATCAATTGCAACCAACAAGAATGCAAATACCAAACATTTGAAAAAAAAAAAAAAAAAAAAAAAAAACTGAACTTGATCTCACCCCTTTTGAAAAAGTTCACATTTGAAGAAAAGGTGTCTTCCAGAAAGAGCATCCAAAGATTCAGATGACAAAAGAGGAGTTTTGTGTATGAATGGCCTGATTCGAGCTTCTGCTTCCCTGAATGAGGAAAAATCAGCTGCATATTTTCCCTTTCTTGTTTGCTTTTCTTCTTCCATCTACAGGAACTGACCAACTCTAAAGATGTTTTATCTCATAAAAGAACAACTTTTTTTTTTTTTTTTTTGTGTGTGATAAAAGAAAACAACCTGAAGCGTTTCTAATGGTAAACGACTTGAAATGAAACAAACCCACTAATTATTCATCAACAATCAGCACAACAAATGAGTAATACAAGTGTTTGAAAGCATGGGTGTCAAAGATTATGAAAATTCTTTACTGGGTTTCTGTATTATCTTATAGTTATACCCATTATCATTTAAAAATAAATAATAATAAAAAAAAACTTTGTGGGACCTGTTTTTGCAGTTTCGATTCTTCTGCTATTTTCTCTGGTCCTGTGTTTGGATCTCACAGCTACAAATTCTCTTAACGTTAAGGAGGTCAATTTCATAATCGTTATCATAGATTTTCTTTTTTTTTTTTCTTTTTTTTTTATTTTTTTTTTTTCTAGAAAACTAGTTGGAGATGCAACATAGTAAATGTTTGGCGGCATTTTCGAGAGCATTAAACGTGTAATAAATTTAAAAACTCTCCCGAGCTTAAATACGCTTAAGTCTAAATTCGTCGGAGCCCAAATTTACTTAAGTCTAAGTTTGCCAAATCCTAAGCTCTCCCGAGCCTAAACTCGCTTGAGGCCAATCTCATCTGAGGTCCACCTCTCCCGAGCCCAAGCTCGCCGGAGGCCAATTTCTCCCGAGTCCAAGCTCGCCTGAGACCAACCTCATCTGAGGTCAACCTCTCCCGAGCCCAAGCTTGCCGGAGGCCAATCTCTCCCAAGCCCAAGCTTGCCCGAGCCAAAGCTCGCCCGAGCCCAAGCTTACCGGAGGCTAAACTCTCCCGAGTCCAAGCTTGCCAGAGCCCAAGTTCTCTTGAGCCAAAAGTTTAAAGGTCGCGTGATATTCAAGTGAAGTAACCGACACTAATTGAAGACACTGAATGATTGAAAATTAATTCTCATTGATTATTTATCAGTTTTAACTTATAAAAAGGTGAAAAGCCTCATTGTAATTAAGAGAGAATGAACTCTCGAATTAATGGGAGAATTAAACTCGCTCAATCATAATGTACTATAAATTCCCTCAATTTGAGAGGAAAAGACAGACACTCATTTCTGAATACAATTGTCTTGTGATTGTCTTCACTTTGTTTTTATTACTCATTCAGAGGTTTTTTGTGTTCTTGGAGTGTTCTTCTGATTTCCTTTATAATTTGCTTATTCAATCTGAATTATTAATCTAGGGATGTTGGATAAGTGTTGGATGAAATTTTACTCCAACATTTTTGGCGCTAGAAAGAGGGCACATGGGAGTGTCAATAAGGTCACACCTAGTTTGTCAAAGATAGCAAGGTCAACAGGTTGACAAACGTAAAAAATAAGGACATTTAAAAATAATTCCATGTCATTTAGAGAACAAGATGGATCAAGTAATGGCCTGGTACCACTCAAAAATTCCTCTAAGGTAGTCGCGTCAGACATACCATCGAACAACACATCTGGATCAAAAGTTTGCATTGGGGACGGAGATAAAGTTCTCACGTCACATAGCCAATGAGCATCTAACATTTCTTTGGAAAAGATAACCTTATCAGGCTTAGGGGGAATAACGTTTGGGTTGAGGTCCCAGTCTCCAGAAACTATGAACCAAGAAGATCTCTAGTGCTTTTCGTTTTCAAGACAATCTAGGATGAGCTTCATGTTTCGTTTTGCTTGGAAGTAAAAAGAACTACTATGCCCAGACGATTTCTTTTTTACATAGATGCCTCTAAATTCGTCGACAGTCAGCTCTCCCAATCCAAGTTTCCGCCAAAGGACAAAATAAGTAATAGCATGACGTAGTGCGTTCGGATAAAGTTGGTTTAAACTCAGATTGAAGTCTGCTAGGAGATTATGAAAATGGATGAAGCAGGAGTTAAAGTCCACATTTAAAAAAATCTTCAAAAATCACAATCCCGTCTGCCGGAGGAGATTTTAAAGTTTCGCTTTCTATTAGGAGGCGAAGTGAAATGTCAGAGGGAATACGATAGGAAGTGTGAATCCTCTCTAAGTCTTCTAGCGTGAGATGGTTATGAAAGTCTTTCGAGTCGAGTTCGCATTAATCAGGGATAGCTTTCATAGTTCCCTCAGCTGGCAAATAGTCGACTTCGAAGTCTATCCAATCGGATTTTTGGGGTCAAAACCAAGCAAATGTTTAGGCTCGGACCCGAATGTTTGCTTGAGAGAGTCAATCTTCTCCCATTTATTTTTGGCGTCGCCACCTTCATGAACTTTGTCGACATCTCCAATCTTGTCGAGTTTGAACTTCAATATTGTGCTTTTGACTTTTGAGCGTATGTCTTGAACGCTAGTCTCGGGGATATACAAAGAATCACGGGAAGAAGAGGAATTAGAAGAATTTCCATCAATTGAAGCTTGAAAAACTCAGTTGGCACGGAGTTTGATGCGTTTGGGGGCTACCCGATGTTCGTTAAAATAGTATTAGAGCCGTCCGACACCATTGCTGCTAAACCATTAACGACATCATCATGGTGCTGTTTATTTATCGCTTCCATTTGCTGGAGTCTATGATAAAAAAAGATATCTTATAGAGGAAAAAAAGCAACATAATCTATGGATCCATTTACATTACGCCATCTTTGGAGTAAAAGATGAAGTGTACTAAATTTCTCATACAGAGAGAAAGGAAAGCACCACGTTTTGGAAGCAAAAGAAAATCAATGCTAATTGAAAAGGTAGCAAGTTTCATTTTTCATTCACGTTGAAAGTCAGCAAAGCTAATTGAAAAGTAAAAAGGTGGCTTTAGTTATTTCTTTCCCTTAGCGTTGAAAGCAACTAAAGCAAATGGGGAATGCAAATCTAAGCACGTAGTGAAAACTAGCTGATTCCACTTCTACTTTAGAGAAGTAGAAATTAGAAGCTTTTCAAAAATAATTTCAAAAAAAAAATGAAGCTTACGAATTATGAAGAAGATACTGAAGATTGGTGCAGATTGAGAAAAATTCTTTTGGGAAATTATGCCGTGAAAGCATAAGGTATTCCAATTTATAAGGAAGTTAGCAAAGTTAATTACTTTTATAAGTAAAGAAAGATTTTTCAGGGAGTGATTGGGTGATTTGTGTTCAAGATCTTTGAGATATGAGTTGTTTTAGAAAAGGAAAGAATTTCTGGAAAATCCTTGTTAAATCTTTGACATTCATGATATGTTGGAAGGGAGAAGCAATTTTCAGTAAGTTCAAAAACAAAGTGAAAATTTCCGGGCAAGTTTTAGTCTCATTTACTTGGCGTGCGACGCTCGTGGACTGGGAGGCTGATGTTGGGCAGCATTTTTGGGAGCATTAAACGTGTAATAAATTCAAAAGCTCTCCCGAGCCCAAATACGCCTAAGCCTAAGTTCATCGGAGCCTAAGTTCGCCGGAGCCCAAGCTCCCCTGAGCCTAAGCTCGCCTGAGGCCAATCTCATCTCAGGTCAACCTCTCCCGAGCCCAAGCTTGCCGGAGGCCAATCTCTCTCGAGCCCAAGGTCGCCAAAGGCCAATCTCTTATGAGGTCAACCCCTCTCGAGCCCAAGCTTACCGGAGGCCAATCTCTCCCGGGTCCAAGCTCGCCCGAGTCCAAGCTTGTCGGAGGCCAAGCTCTCTCGAGCCCAAGCTTGCCGGAGGCCAAACTCTCCCAAGCCCAAGCTCGCCAGAGCCCAAGTTCTCCTGAGCCGAAAGTTCAATGGTCGAGTGATGTCATCAAGTGAAGTAACCGACACTAATTAAAGACATTGAATGATTGAACATTAATTATCATTAATTATTTATCAGTTTTAACTCACAAAAAGGTGAAGAGCCTCATTGTAATTAAGAGATAATGAACTCTCAAATTAATGGGAGAATTAAACTCTCTCAATCCTAATGTACTATAAATTCTCTCAATTTGAAAGAAAAAGACAGACACTCAATTTCTGAATACAATTGCCTTATGATTGTCTTCATTTTATTTTTATTACTCATTCATAGATTTTTTGTGTTCTTGGAGTGTTCTTCCAATTTCCTTAGATAATTTACTTATTCAATCCGAATTATTAATCTAGAAACGTTGGATAAGTGTTGGATGAAATTTTGCTCCAACAGTAAATTTGTTTAATTCTTTGGATTTATATTCCACATATAAATAAGATTTTTAAAGTTTTTTTTTAAATGGAAATTACATTTAATTAAAAACTGATAAACAATAATTTAAGTACAATGCTAATGGCCATTAAAGGGACGGACGCACACATGAGGCCCAAAAACAGGAGAACATCTCGACACACTAACAACGAGCACACATGAAGCTCGAATGAAGAAATCTTTCCCATCGAGATAGGCTTTCAAGCGCTAGAGGGACAGATAACCAAACTCCATAAAGAGGAGACATCTACACAACATAGAAAAAATTCTAGCCGGGCCAAGACAACCTTATTAACAGACATACAAATGGCCTTAAATCAGTCACCCAAAACTAGCAACAAATAGCAAAACAAATGAGGGTTGGGTGGGGAGACCACCACTCTCATTACAAACATGAAAATTACATTAAAAAAACAAAAAAAAACAAAAAAAAAACCTTCAACCACCACTATTAGAAGCCTCTGGTGAAGGGTAACCGACCAATGGGCTGTCGAGGAAAATAGCCGGCCAAGAGATCTCAACCACCAAAAGACAAACTCGTCTATAAATGAAGCCCATCCGCTCAGCTTCCAAACTCCAAACCGGTTTAGATCTACCTAAACAAAGCCACCACCAATGAGAAGCTCACGACTAGACAACCGAGGGACTAAGTTTCATGACTAGGAGCCCGACAACGCGCCCAAAGGCAATCCCGGAACTCTAGCTGTCGTTCACTCTTTTTTCGTGTGGGGTAGAGAAACTTGAAAGCCCCAAACATAATTTTAATGTTTGGTTTCCATTATTAAGTTTTTGTTTTATTTTGCAGTCAATTAAGAAGTAAGCATTTAAAAAATAAACTATAAAAATGTTTTAGTTATTTCTCACCAAAATTTTCTAAAAGCCGTACTCCTTTCTCATAATTTATATAAATTTTCATTATTTCTCAGATTTTAGCGCAAGGTAAAGAAATTCTAGTTTTATTTTTAACAACTCAAACTATTATTTATAATTCAAACCTTAATTCAGGATTTAAATTAGTGTTTAAGAGAGAAAAATTCAAGAACAATTCAAACTATTAGTTATAATTTTTTTAATATGTTCGTAATGAAA